GGAGGATGAGGGGTGCAGGTGATCTGGGTAAAGCTGCAAAATTGAGATGAGATTATTTATGACATTGAGGGAGTATGAAATAGAATTGGACAGGAGCTTCTAGCATGAGCCATACCCGAAACCTGATCTCGACTTTAAAGGACAGAAAGTTATCAATCATAAATAAATTAGAGATGGACCGATCCGATATCACTATTGGTATCGGTCCGATACTGACGTAAATTACTGGATCGGATATCGGAGAGAAATAAAAAATGTAATCCGATCCATTAAATATCAAAAAAGGACCTCACAAAACTTGCGACATGGCGTAACTGGGCTCATAACCGTAGCGCGTCGGAGCAGTGTGCATCACGTGATAGAGCGGCTGTATTTGTAGCCTCGCTAGCAAACCGGCATTTCATCTCCGATGAAGTTATCCCAGAGAGAAGTAAAGCAAGTGTGTAAGTTCATCTCTGAATGTTTGTAAAGCATTCCCACTTAAGCTTAACAACCGATATATGGAGCGACTGCCCCTTCTCTCTCCCTCCCTCTCCTGGTGCTACTTCAATCATGAAACTGATCAATGATCAGCTGATCGACTTTTCTGTCGAGAGTCTGTCTCTCTTCTTTGTTTTTGGCCCACTTTGCACCAGAAAGAAGAAACCAGCGGCTGAACAACAGCAGCACGTTTAAGCTTGATCAGCTGTTGTTAGAATTTATTTAATATTACTTTCTACACCAGGATCCTTTTCTACGTAGCTGACGCTGGTAACTGTGCAGGGGCGGATCTACCAAAGTTTAGCCAGGGGGGGCCGATAGGGCATTAACAGGGAAAAAGGGAGCACAAAGACATACTTTTCTTTCTTATTCTCATTTAAAATGTCTAGCTTTTAATAAATAATTATCTGAATCTTACACCCAAAGTTTTAATCTGATGTAACATGTATAGAAGTCCATTACTGTATATAGTAACTATTAAGTCTAATATACCCTAGTAAGCTATAGTACTTTTTCCTTTGGGAAGATACCATCTGTGCAGTCTGCAATTCTGTTGAAGAAAGATGTTGAATCTATTTAATTATTCTTGAAAAATAATTTAATTCTGTGCATTTTTTCCCCACACTGCATCAAATTAAAGTTGATTACGTCGATTAATCATCATGAGGTGGAGGGTGGTTCCCTATTTTTTTTTGTTGTTGCTGGGAGTTGGAACCCTATTAGTTAGGTTGCTTAATATTTCTGCTAAGTACTCTTTAAAATACCAGAATAGGGAGGATGGAGTAGCTTTAAGTTTATTAGATTGATCAGTGTTGCTGAACTATGAAATATTTTGGGTGCAGTGTATTTTTTACATACAGGTATAACAGAATAGCTTTAGTGTTTGTTTATTTAAACTTGAGTATGAACTTATACAAAATGCAGCAAGATATTAAAAAACAGTTTTATTGATTAAAAAACACACTATATCGGATTCATATCGGTATCGGCCGATATCCAAATTTATGATATCGGTATCGGACATAAAAAAGTGGTATCGTACCATCTCTAAAATAAACCTGCATGTCTTAAAGGAGAGGAAAGAAGGATTTTTGTTATGCACTGTATCATGCTATCACGATAACGGGGTATGAGGCCTACAGCAAGAACACGACAGTCATCTAATAATTTCTAAAGTCTTTAAAGGAAACTTAAAATTCAGAGGTAAGGCAGTACTGCAGGATCTGTGTGCATCTTTAAAAATGCAGAGTGATTTAGCTGCATTTAAAAATACCACTCACAATCCTAAGAATAACCACTTACAGTTTTAAATTGCGCCTCCATTTAGAACATTCCTCTTAGCTAAGAGGAGCGTTTGGGTGTCTGCAGTGTGGAAACAGAAGAGACACCTTCTGAAAAGAGTTTGGAGCAATTGTTGGCGATGATGAATAATACATTGTCTGAATGATGAGTCAGAAAAGACTACTATTTGGATTTGATTTGAGCATTTGAAAGGATTTGACATCTAATTATTTCCCTCTTGTCTTTGTTAGGGGTGTGACCAACAACAAAACAAGGTGGCACTTAATTTCATTGTAGAAATTTACAATTTCATCCCTTTTCAAAAACAATAGAATGAGTTTCACATTTATCTTCTTCTTAAGTGTCAAACTCCACTCGTGGCACTGAGATAAATTCATGCACCGGTCCTCTGATGCCATGGTCTGAGTTCAGAAAGACAAACATTTGGGCTGAGTCACACAGTAGAGCATTTAATTTTTATTTTATTTGATCTTTATTTATTTTATTTTTTTTATCTGCACAGGCTTTGACAGGAAAAGCGAAAAGAGCTAAGACTTCTGACTTTGGTTGTGATGTTTTCAGGTCAGCGGCTGTGAAAACACACAACGCACGGGGTTGTTCGACACAACCGTGCGCACATGCACTAAAGTTGTGTTCTCCGACAGCTCCAGTTTCTACAGCTCTGGCAAAGCCACAAAGCGCTACCAGCAAGAAGGTGTGGAATCACAGACTCTGTCACAATGTACTAACAGGTTGAAATGACAGCGTTAAGCATCTTTTTGGCGCCTTCAGCGATAACGCTAAATATGTGAGGATGTTTTATGAGCTGATAAACAGCGGTTTGCAAATTGTTTGTAATATAAACATGCATGAGATTTTTATTTAAAACAATTAAAGAATCCACCCTTTGCTGCTAACACAGCCTTTCAGACCTTCAGTTTTTCAGTATGTTGGGGTAATCTGGAGAAATTCATACACACAACATCTCAATAGCCACTGTGTTACAGACAGAATTCCAGCAGAGTGCTTCCTCTCATGGTTTTTGCATAGTTTCCAGTTTTGTTCTTCCTCCAACCTCAGCAGCGTGCAGAGGGTATGGCACGACTACCTAAATTTTTCTTTCTTTACCACTAACAAAGCCTCCTAAATCAAGACATTTCTCAATCATGCTTGATAGATGGTGTCAAGCACTCCTGCTGCACCTTTAATTGGCTGTACTTCACACAAAAGTTGTTATTAGTGACCCAAACATCAAACCTATACCCATCAGTCCTTCAGTATCTGTGTACTTTTAACCATCTCAATCTTTTCCTTTCAGTGGCTTTTTTTTTTTATCCCGTTGCAACTCTGCCTTGAAGGCTGGCCATTTAGGACCTGTGATGTGTGTGTTTCTCAAAAAACACACGTCACAAACTCTGTGTATACTTTGTCCTTTTTCTCAGCTGTGCACCACGGCCTCCTACCTATCCTTCTATTCTGGTTTAGGCCAGAGTGCTTTTCTGCAAAGGGTAACACAAACTTGTATGAATTCTTATTTCTTTGGAGTTTTCCAGCATGGAGCTGCCTTTTAGAAAAAAGGAAAAATAAAAACACCTTTTTTCCCCATTTTCAGATTATTATCTGAGCCACAGAGGTTGGTGCTCCAGACATTGAACTTACAAATGTTTTTCTTTTTGAAAAAATCAGGAACAAAGTTTCCATCTGTGCAAATGTGATCAGTCACAGTTTTAACGAGACACACTTGCATTTGTGCCGCTGGAATACAAACCTGATTATTTTTGTATTCCTATGGACATGTTCTATGTTCTAAAGATAATTATGATTTATAATTTCATTAGTCATGAATCAAATATCAACTAATCTTTTTCTTTATAGAAAAACAAGGATCTTCAATACATAATGTCAATTTTTCTAATGTTGCAATAGCAGTAAACAAACAAAACACTTGGGATGCTAACATTCAGTTAGATGCAGTCGTCACAGTAAAATAGATAAATAGTGAAACGGGGACAATTTACAACACTAACACGAATGTGTTAGTAGCTGGGAAAAGCAAGGAGGTTAAAAAAAGCTGCGCTCCAAAATAACAGCAGAGGAGCCGTGCCTGCTGTTTGGAAGGTTTGGTTTTATAAGATGAGATTTGTTTTGTAGTCATTTCTGGTTGCACTGCTTCTGTCCTGGACCAGAGATCCTCTACACACAGCCACAGGGAGCCAGGAGAGGGAAAGACAGTGTGTTACAAAGCTAGCAGGTATTTTTTCTGACCACAGAACAATTTTCATTACAACATTTGGAGGAATCATTTTGTTTCAAAGCTGCTCTTTACAGCACCAAAGTGATTATTTCATGGTTTTTTGGTTTTTGAGTTTATGGTTCTTTTTAGTTTTGAGGACTCATTTGTGTTTGAGCCACATTGTTTGTGTTTTGGGGTACTTTTTCCTTATTAGCTTATTATAAGTTTAGTAGCTTATTATGAAAGTCTTGTGTTTTGGGTTATCTTTGGTTTGGGGTTCTGTGTGGGGGTTTGGTTGAATTTTAATTTTCTGTTTGTCTTTGTTTGTGTGTGTCATCCACAGTTTTCTCTTCTCTCTCTCTCTCCATGTCTCCTGTTCAGTCTATCTTTTTGTCTGCCTGCTTTCTTTGGTTACTTCCTAATTTTACCTTGAAAAGCTCCATTTTCCTTCATGTGTCTACCTTTTCTTGCTGTCCCTGCCATCACTGATTCCTTGGTTGTTTTCAGCTGTGTTTTGGTTCCCGTCTGTTTCCATCTCTCTCATTACTAGTATTTCCTGAATACTTGGATTCCTGTATTTCCTGTATGTAAGCGCCAAAAAGTATTGTTATATGAAACTAAAAAGCTTTTTATTTATATTTTATTTCATTTTTATGATTGTATTCAACTGTTTATATATTATTTTATGCATATCATACTTTTCAAAGTATACTCAACCATTGTAAACTGACTGAAAGGAGACTTAAGAATTATAACAAATACCATGATACAACTTTTTGAAGCTCAGCGCTACTTTTCATGAATTCAAAATGGGTCTGATTCACTTACAGAAAAGCTTAATTCTCTGACAAGGTTGTGATATGTTTACTTTTCTACATGTGTTGATCCTGACAGGAGAGGACATTCTGTAACCATTATGACAATAAAAGACTCCCCCTAAGGTACTGTTTCTTTGCTCAGAGTTGTCAGGTTAGCAGCTCAGTGTGGGCGTTCAGAGGACACTCACCACAAGAGAGAGCGGCCTCTTCCATGACACCACTCCAATGAGACCAGAGAGCAGAACCTAGAGGAGAAAAATTACAGATGCTATAAGAGTGGATACTCAGATGTACGCATATAAAAACCACTGATGGAGATGATGGGACAGTAACACCGATGTAATGTGGTCACACTGTTTAGATTATTTTACAACAGCCTCCAAAATAGCTCGGGCACAATCACAGACATTAACTCTCTGTGTGTTTTAGTGTTTTGAAACATAATGAGCTTTCCTGTGCATAAATGTGATGCCACACTTTGAAAAATCTGAATTTCAAAAGCTATTCTAATTTGTTTCTGGCTTCAAGCGTGACTCACTCAGTTCTCCACACAGGAAACTGTGCTCATACTGTTCAGTTGATTGAGCTGCTGTCAGTGGTTGAAATAAGCTGAAAAGGTTGTTTGCTTTCACTATAACTTCAATAGAACTTTGACGGATGTTTTGTTTGAGCCTATTTTTGGCCAGTGAACAACAACAAGAACAAGAGGCAAAATTCAAAAAGTCATCATGCAAAAACCCACAAATAAAAGCAACATCAAGCTTTATTAAGTGAAATTTTTAAGTGTGTTCAGGATGTTTTGCACCTCTGATCTGCAGATATAGTCTATGTCCAGTTTTTGTGGTACACCTGTGCAGTCTAAAGTCTAGACAGGCCTGGAGACAATTCCCTGTTGATAAGGAAAGCTGTTTATTGGAGGTGGTCCTGAATGTCATTATCCCCACTATTGATAATGTGAGCTGTAACATTAGCCGCAACTTTTAGATTATTTTACGACATCAGACTGGCAGCACTTCCAACAAAGCTTAGTGAACCCGGCATCCTGACCAGCTGAGTCTTGTCCCGTTGAGCCGGATCTTCTATATTGAGCCATGCATTTGTGGATTGGCTGTTTGGTTTCTCCTACGTAGAGGTCAGAGCACTCCTCGCTGCACTGCGCCGAACATTGTTGTTTTAAAACTAAAGAAGTCTATGAAGAGGTGAAATGTCTTTAAAAAGCTACAAAACTTCAGTCACCTTTTTTTCAAGCTCTCAAGACTACAATGACCTGGATGACTGAGACCCTGAGACGCAGATTGTTATTTATTTTTGCACAAAAAGACAAGAATGTGATGGTAAAGTGCACACTGCATCTAGGACAGAAAACTCTATTCACTGTTGCTTGCACACTATCTGATCTGGGACATCATGGGACACAAAACTAGTGGTGGTGAACCCAGAATAATGTTCAAGCTAAGTGAACGCCAACCCCAACCACATACAGGTGAAGCTTGATGCTTCAGAACAATCAGTGATGAGACATCAGGCTGGTAGCACTGAAGCTCTGTTCTACCTGTATCAGTTTCTACAGTGAACATTTGCAGCTGAAACACTTCTCTTTACTCACGTTTCAGTTTCTAACTTTGGTTTTGTGAAAAAAAACTACAGAAGTTGTATGTGTTCTTATTAAGAAATGCATTTCTGTCAGTGTGACTCCCATATAATGTCTGGTTCATGGTCACTGCATTTGTTCTGTTGCACAGCAACTGTGATGTCACCACACCCCCATCACCTTTTACACTGGTGCTCAGAAAACAAACCTCTGCACCAGCGCTGGTACAGGAGTAGAAGTAATGAGAACAGGAAACAAAGAAATCCTTGAAGTTTTATTTTATTTTTTCTAAGGATTTCTCTAGGAAGTCTCATCCTTTCAAACTGTTGCAGCATCTCGCTCTGTATAATCTGAGACTATCTGAGCTCCTGCGCTGATATTTCACTGAAAAAGGCCCAAACAACACTGAAGCAATGGTGGCAACAGTTCAAACCAGTTTAAAATTTGCTGTTAACTGGTTATCATGCAAAAATGCGTCTCAGGCCATGCTGTGATATAAACGTAATGTAACAATTAATGTAAGAAACTCGTTTCTATAGACTAGAAATGTAACATAATGCTTTATATTTAAAAGATTTACTAGTAATGAGTGATGCATTGCTGTTTTTGGAGCAATGACTCCAACACAGAAGCACAAAACCTTTAACGATGACCTTATTAATCTATATGTTACAGAAGCTACACTGTTCGAATCAGCACAGCTACAGTGGGGTCTCTTATAAGTTAAGCAGAGCCTCTGCTTCTGATGGATGATGATTAGATTCTTGGCTCCTACTCTCTTCATGTCAAAGTGCATTTGCATCCATCAGTGCGTGTGTGTGTGTGTGTGTGTGTGTGTGTGTGTGTGTGTGTGTGTGTGTGTGTGTGTGTGTGTGTGAGAGACAGAAAAAAGTGCCATATGCAGAAAATAAATGAGCAGTGAGACAACCACATGTAAACCTGCACACTGGTAGAGAGTATGCAGTGTTTTGTAGATGGTGTCAACTGGTTTAAGGGTAAATACAGCAGTATTCAGCATATCTCTATAATCCATAGCGATATGCGCTGTTTGATCCAGTTTAGATTTGGGGTTTGTTAAAAAAACAAAAGGTTTTCAAAGTGAATTTCCATCTTACTGAACTCCAGAAAGGTGTGTTTAAAGTATTGTTTAGATTTACACTGAGAGACAGCATGAATCAAAGGAGGAACATCAAAGGAGTTGAGCTCTCGTGAAATGCACACATCAGGGTAGAGGCGATGTATAAAAATGCGCAAAATAAAACCAGGCAGCCCTTCCGAGGAAAATGGACCACTAAACACGGGAGACAGCTGTAGAAAACATCGCTTTCTCTTCCCCGTGACCATCGAACCATCGTGTTCCTAACCCTAGCACGGCTAAGTTCATCCTTGGATGGTTTCCTTTCTTTGCAGGCCATGCTAAAAATGCAGCATGTTGTGCTGCTGCCATGACTCCATCAAAGTGTCTCCCAGGAGCTTCAGGTTTCTCTATTAGCACTGATTTTCTTTCAGATTTCGAGCTCCATCTACCTGGAACCAGTTACCCCGAAGCCTCTGCTGAAATGAAACAATTGTGTTTGTGATGTCTGTTTTTTCCTCTGTTCCCATCTGCTATTGATGTGCCTTTTCGATTTAAATCCAAGTAATCCTGCCTTTTTAAATGAGCTGTCTGATTAAACCAAAAAGACTTAAAACACACACACACACGGCGAATGTTTTTTTCACACTTCTCTCTAGGTGTGGGCTTAATATTTTTTTACAGTGCGTGTAACTGTAGGTGTGAATTTGCGCATCATCGAAATATTCGTGTGAACAAAGGGTACTGATAGCCTTCGGCTCTGTATTTGTCCACGGTCTCCCTCTCTGCCTCTCACCCATCTTACCCATCTTCACCCTCCATTTAACACCACCATGCTCTTCCTTTTTCCCCCCGTTCATGCCGCGCTCCTTCCCTCTGTCCACTCTCTCGATATCCACCGTCTCTCTCCAAGTTTTGCCACCTTCCCCTATCCAATTTCTCCCTGTATCACACTCCATCGCTGTATTTCTTGCTGCTGCTGCTCAGCGCCCACACAGTCGCACTATATTTCTGCACTTACACACTCGCTTTCACTAAGCTCCATCCAGACTTCTCATTTCTCTTTCCCTCTCCATCTTGTTCCACTTTCTAGTCAATCTTCTACTTCTGTGCTCACCTTGATACCCACAGGACCCGGCGAACGGGATGTCAATATTTCATTTGAGCGCTCACTCGCACAGACACACACGGACACAGATGTCTTTTTTTAATTTGGATTTTTTCTTATTTATATCTTGTGGTTATAAACAAATTCATAAAAGACAGACAGAAGCAAAGAAATCTAAACCCACAATGAATGCATCAAACCCACAGCCAAAGAACTCAAGTATCTAGAACTTTTATGTAATAGTGCAGTCTTTGCATCTTTAAGAAAAGTCTTTGGACAACAATACACAGCATGACAGCTACATTAGACTCTCTATTACATTGGACTTTTGTTGCTCATTCAGTAAGTTCACAGTTTTGTAAAGATTAAATGCAAATAATGGTTTTAAATTCACAAATTTAGATGGTGAGGCTTTTATATTAGAAGCTAAGAAGGGAGCCACAATTTCCTTTTATACTCAGATTTATCTTTTTATGCTACTTCTAACTCGATTTAACACATCAGCATAATGAGCTCTTATTTAAACCATCATGAAGTTCATTTTATAAGTTATGGCCACGCTTACAGTACATACATGATAAAGCAGGGTGTGATTTACCCACGGTGTCCGTCTCTCAGTCAGATCCACCCCTCGTTTGTTTGATGGCTGTTTTCCAAAAGCCAGGACGGACCGACCGAAATCTCCAACTTCAGGTTTTAAAGTTTTTAGACCCCAATGGGAGACATCATGGTGCTATGTCCTTCTTTTGTATACAGTGTTCGAGTGAATCAAGCTTGCAATAAAGCTCGGACATCTCCAAGTCTGTGACCTGCCATGTCCACTGGGCACAATTATTTTTTTCAGAGTCCAACGCTGTGGCTGACAAGAGACAATCTGCAGCCGCTCTAGCGATCGTGCCAGCGTCTCCTGACTCTTTTATCATCCCTCTGTCTTTACAAGCTATGATTATTCGTTTTTTATTACTCTCGATCTGACTGCATGCTCTCTGCTCTTTTTGTCTCATCACTTTCCATCTGTTAAGTATCAACACTGCTAGTTTTTCTACTACACACCATTTGGAAAATACAGACCGAAAATGAAGTGTACACAGTTAATTAAAGCAGGGAAGGAAGTGTTTTGGAAATGTATTTGAACAAAGACAGAAACTGTAAAAAAGAAATAAATTTTAAAAAAGCTGCAGCCACAGTCAGTGGACATCAAACTGACTGTGTGTGCACTTTCTGGACTAATAATGCCTCTGCTCTGTCTCCTCTGCTCATTGCTGGTATAAACTGCACCAGGAGACAGGGGCTTGTGTTACTGCAGGTATATTCACCTTCTTTACACTGGTGCCAGGCACTGCGACAAGGAGTCCAGAGACGTTGTGTCACCGTTACAGACTCCCCTCTCTCCCTCTCTGCTTGGTGATGCTCCATTTGCAGAGAGCAAATGCACTGCACAATGCACAATCAAGCTTGAACTGGGCTCCTGTCACCCAGCGGTTTCTTCTTACTTATCCAGCTCTCCCAGATTTCCATAATTATGCAACACGATTTCAATCCGTTACCTTCAGGAATTTAGCACTGGGCTCCAAATGTTGTCTTTCTGTTTGTGACTCTTATCACACTGATGTGCTTGGCCTGCTTCACTTCTGCACTGGTATGACATCAGAAGTAAAGAAAAAGATTTGGAATTCAAGCACGCTTTTCACCGCCGATATCAAGTGTGCCATCAAGCATACAGCACAAACACTCATGGCTGCATGGTCACCACCGCGGGAGCAGAGAATGTACCTGGAACGAAGCTCTTTTTTTTTTCTCTCGTCTCTCCACGCGTTCCCAGGTTCCCCTGAGTAGACGTGTGTGGAGGACAATGTGTATACCTGTGCGCCTGTTTGAGAAGTGAAATGATGTGCGAGCAGGAACCATGTGATAGATTTGCTGGCTGTCAGTCACTGGAGGCTTTTCCTCTTGGCTGCGTCCAGAACAAGATTAACATTCAATACTTAGCAGCATTAGTCACTGAAACCTGGGCACCACACACCCACTAACATGCTGAAAAAATACTGACTCTTTTCCAGAAGGTATTCTATCTAAAATTCATGAAACGCTGGCCAAAACACTGACCAATCAAATGACTCAGTTAAAAAATAATTTTGTCTAAAAACAGAAGTCTCTAAAGTAGTTTTAAAGACGTGCCGACTCTTGATAAGGTAGAGTCATTTCAGTAAATTGGTTTGAGGTTGGACCGCAGAGCAGCTTTTAGTATAACAGCGGTGAGATGTGTTGGTGCAGTGGATTCTTTAAGGTTAAATGATGCTTGAAACTCTTAATAAGGGGTATTTAAATTAAATTAGCACACCGTAAACAACTGGGATCTGAGGTGAATGCTCTCTAGTACTATTGTTGTACTTGTATGATAGCTTATTTTTAAGTTTTAAGTCAACAAATCATGAGAAACAGACTAGAAATAACTAGAAATAACAAACGATAATTAATTTTACTCACAGAAATCAGAGCCAGAGCCTCCAGAAGAAAAAAAAAGGTAACACCGTATAATTTGTTCAGGAACAACAACCAGGGTCTTAATTGGGAGCTGGATCACATTTAAAGACGTCTAATCTTTGAGCAGGATGTTCAGATCATTAAGCATATCAGCTTAAGTGACACACAGCCGGCAGGAAACAACTTTTTAAATGACAGGTGATACGATAAAGTGAGCATAAAAGCTTAATTAATTCTTAATAGTTCAACTTTTCAACACTCGTAAAACTATACTGGTTTCCTATGTGTGCATTTTGACATGTGCACACAACACACCCACATGCTCTTGTAACAAGGACACACAGACAGATGCACACACTGTGTACTGACAAATGGAACGGAGAGATAAAAGTAAGGCTTTGACTTGTCAAAAGGCTGCATGAGAAGAGCCAGTGTCACAGCCATGAAAGAATGTTTCACTCTGATATACTCCGACGGAGACGACTAATACCTTCGCACATGCGCTCACACACACACACACACACCCGCAGTCACAAGAAATACAGAGTGACTTGCAGCGGGGGACGTGTCATTTGAGGCCAACAACAAAGAAAACATTGCAAAATATAACTTAAAATTCCCTTTCAGAGATTAGCACCTTCTTGCAAAGTCAGTGTGAAAAGGTTGAACTCAAACAGCTTTCTGACAGACAAAAGGCACGTTAGCCCAGCTGGATCCTCAGATGGGAGAAGCCCAGCGAAGAATCAGTGTGTAGCTGCCGCAACAAATTCCAGCCATGCACACAACGCAGTGCAGTGCACAAAGCCTGCATACAAACCTAAAAGAAAATCTCATGCTCTGACATTGGTGACGGAGGCTAAAAATAGTGTTTCGGTCAAGAATAAAACACACCGTCTTTTGTTCTCAGTTATTTTGCCGTTATTTTTGTCCCAGATGTGAAGATTTTGTTACGTTTTGAGAAACACTTTGTTTGGACGACAACAGAATACAGTTTAAAAACAGGTTCGGCTGCTTGGTTGTCACTTCTCGAACAGGCTGGCCATAACTAACTGTGGGGAGACCTGCGGGGCAGTTTCAGAACACAGTGGAGGACTTGCATCTTCCAGCTGTTCTGGGAGCACCCCAGGAGGAGTTCCAGGAGTTTAAAAAAAATAAGATAGCAGGCTTTCTCTGCTCTGCACAGTCAGTAACCTGACCTTGATGATAATTAGAGAAAACACAACAGACAACTCACTGATAAGAGAAAAAAATGAACCTAGGGAAAAGCGACTAATTGGTCATTCTTCCATTTGGTTTGCAGAAACTGTTCTGGCAGTATACATTCTTCCTGCTAACTTCATGTTTCTATTATTCTGCACTTTTATTTTCAATTTAGTATGAAACACAGAGGATCGCAAACACATAAACCTTGTAAAAAGGATGTTTTTACATACACATGCTTGACATTAAAACAGTATTTAACAATTACAATCCAATCCAATAGAGAAGTTAATGGACTTATAAACAGATTTTTTCAACGTGTTAAGTTTTACAATATATTGTGAAGAATGAATGTTTAGAAGACATTAGACTTTTAGTAATACCACGTTTTGAAAAAGTTTGGTTAGTATACAAAACTCTATGTCAGAGGCTGAGCAACCCTGAAGGTTTTTATCTCAGATATCATATCATCATGTTGCCTGGTGACCACCTGGTAATGGGTTCAAATAATCTGGTTTTTAACCTACAACAGCAAAAGCATGCTATCATTTTACTTTTTATGACAATAGTAAGGACTTGCAGCTTGTCCAACATGTAACCAGTCTCTCATCCAGTGGTGGCTAGGACGGGCTCCAGCCACCAGCGTGACCCTGAGTTGGATAAGCTGAAGAAGATGGATGGATGGATAAATAACAAAATCTGATTTATGAAAGTTAAATTACAGCATAATTCTAGCAAGGGGTTAAAATGACCCATCTTTAGCCTATAAACACACGCATCCCGTTGTTCCGGGTATGTCCAACCAGGACATTAGATTAGATCTCTCAGCTGGCTCTGTTTAGGTTTCTGCCCCCATGACCTGACCCCGCATAAGTGGAGAAAAATAAATGGATTACTTTTCCCAATGTGATTTGGTATGTTTGTTTGCCAAGAGCACACAGGTTAAACAATACTGTAGCATGGGCATTACTTGTTTTGCTATTTTTTAATATCAATTTGTCAGCAGAAGCGGATCAACCTGTACTACAGCCCAGCACATTTACAAAATTACTTTAAACCTCTTGAACGTGGTAACTTGTAGAACCTTCTTTGGCAGCAGCATTATCCATCAGGGATTTCCAGCAGAAACAAAGTGAAATTTGTAATCACTCCTTCCTACAAAACTGC